GTTTTTTTGTAAAACATGTTGTTTTAAAATATAGTAATTTTTTAATACAATATATTTTAAGTGAAACAAATAGTTATTTTATTTTATTTTTATAATTATTTATTAACTTTAATTATTTTTCTTGTCATAAAAATTATCTTTATTTGTATTTTTATTTGTTAAATAATATATGTAAAAATATTATTCTTAAATATTTAATTTAAAAATAAAATAAAATAACATTTAATATTATGGGACAGGGCAACTAGTATCTAAATTACTTATTTCACTTTTTTTTCCGCCCAACAGAAGAGTGATCAACTCCCTTGGCCCTTGCTGTCTCAGCAAAATTGTTGAGATTTTCATGCTCTAAGCTGTTAACTCTTTGGCGAATGCTTAACCCCGTCATCCTCTAAATATGTTTTTTCTGTACACTTAAAACAAAACTCACAAAATAATAAGTAACCGTTGTTTTAATTATCATCAAAATCAAAATCTATACTAAAAGGATTGACTTTTCAAGTTTTATAGTTCATCTTTAAATTTTAATATTTAAGTAGAATTAATTAAAATTTTGAATCTCATTAATTATTTAAATATTTATACTTAATCTAAGAATTATATGTGTCTTTCAACTTATAGACTGAACTCATTCACTTCCCCTTTTCCCTATAATTACCCTTCTTCAAAAAAAAATTCTATACTAAAAGCTACAAGAAATAGGTTAGTAGGTGAAAATATATATATAAATTAAAATAATACTTATCTATTTTACTTTTTAAATATTAAGATGAGTATTATTTTAAAACTATATCATTTTAATAAACACCTATTGAAAAAAAATTAAAATATCTTATTTTTAAAAAATGAGTGTGTTTTTTATCTTTTTCTCTCTTAATTTTTTTTTTAAGTAAGTGGACAAATACTAATCCCAATATATATAGGTTTGTCTCCTTATTTATATATTTTGTGCTCTGCAGTCTTTTTCAATGATAGGCAAACAAAGAAGAATCCAAAAAATCAAAAATTAGGTCCAAAATGAGAAAATTTGCATGAATAGAGAGAGGAAAAAATAGGATTAGTTCTTTTATTTAAAAAATAAATAAATTCATGAATATTTTAAATTTAATTCCCTCTACCACATGTAGGGTGGGTGAAACACCATACCTTCATTAGTAAAATAAATTAAAGGTTCAAATCTCACGCGATATTCCTTGTAATTGCCCCACCCCATTCCCAACAACCGGAGTTAGAAAAGAAGGGCAATTGATTATCAATTTGAATCCAAAATTGCTAGTACTAATATTTGCAGGATATGAAAATGGATTTGATTCGATACTTGAAATGATAAGATGATCAATTTCTTCTGCTTGTGCATCTGTCTAGGCTTCTGAAGTCAGGAAAATAGGTTCCCTTTCCTCTAAGAAATAGTGATGGCACTGGCCAAAACATTCATGTCTTCCATGTTTCCATCATTTTACTATGTCACACAATCCTAGAAGGTATCCTGCCCTTTTGTATCTACATGACTTTAATTTACCAGAAAGGTTTTTTTCTTAAAAAAATAAATAAATAAATAAACTTTTGCTATCACTTCAAACAAAAATGAGCTGAAAACTTTTACAAATGCTTCCTGCAGTTGTAGGTCCTTGCTGGGGCCATTGTTTGAACTCTTCCAACACCACCACCCAAAACTAACCCACCCCAATGCAAATTGGTAGCATAAATGTAGTAATTGCCGCCTCCAAGAAGAAAAGCAAAGGCAAAAAAAAAAAGGTGAAAGAAGCACAATTCATTTAGCAATATCAAGGATACTTAACGTGACAGTACAAGTGAAGCAAAAGCCTATAGAATAATTAATTAAATTATTAATAAAAATGTGCTCTCTCAATTATATAGTTAAGGTTTCAACTCTTTTTCTACCTTATCACTCTTCTCTCTAGGAGAGTTTCAACTAGTATTGACTTGTCTCAAAAAAAAAAAAAATGATGGTGATGGTAAGATATGTTCACAAAATAACTCCTAATAATGTATCTCAAATCCATATTACAAGTATCTCATTTAATAGAAGGATGACATTTCAAAAAATTATACTGATATTTTAAAAACACGGTTATGAAGGTTTGAAGTATGGGAAATTAAAAGCAGGGAGAATTGGAAGAGATATTGCATTCTTATTATAATGCTGAGATGTTTTAGAGAATTAGGTGTAGCCTTTAATTAACCTCAAGATTGAATTTACTGAGAAATAAACGTTATTTTGTAACTTAAATTTTAAAATTTAAATTTTGGAGTCAACATAAAAAAAAATTAATTTTTACCAAGCAAATGTAAATTACTTGAAGAAATTAATCTCAAGGTATGAATAAATTGACTGACTTTGAGACCTTCTAACTGTAAATAGCAGTTATATATATTTTATGTATCAATTACACTAAAATACCATAAATACAATCTAAAAAAAAAATTAAAAAAAATAAAACCTTTGACACCCCCTCTCAAATTCAAGGTGGTTGTACCAACTTGAGTTTGAAAATTCTTGAAAGCAGAGGAAAACCATGGAGGTGAATCCATAATCTGGCAAAATTGGAAAGTCCAGCAAACTGCTGGAAGACAAATAACATGTTTAATTCAACAACCGAATTAGTGAATCTGTGAAGGAAAAGCAACAAACAACACAACCTGTTAAAATATAATACTGGAACTGGACTAATAGAGGGCAACAAGATGCAAATCCAAGCTGGTCAAATACTAAAACAAAGACAAAAATCAGTGCACGTATAAACTTGTAACCACGTGGATTTGTAGCAGTAAAGCGGGTAATTATAAGAAACTGACCTGCGACGCTGTAGTGCGTTTACTGTTAGATAGGCTGAACTTTAAACAATTAGGTTGCCGGAAAAATTGCACACTTTTTTGTACTAAAAAGAAAAAGAGAGAGAGAGAGAGAGAGAGAGAGAGAAGAAAAGAAAAGTATGGCATGGAAAGCTGCTTCAAGGTCCCCAAATTAGATTTCAGAAGACTTGAAAGGAAAGAATCATCACTAAAAACAGTTATCATGGGGAAGATTTTATATATTGGGCTTGATTGAGTTGGGAATCGGTTGTAAGGGCTTGACTTGCTGGGTAAAATTGGTGACGTAATGGCTGGAAAGACCAGAAAGTTGGCCGATCAGATGGAGTGATTCGGGGATGATAAGATGAAGTATTGGGGAGTATTTTGAATATGACTTTCTTCCCCCGTCCCTTCTTTTTTTTTTTTCCTTTTAAAAATCTAAATAACTGAAAGAAATAGAACAAGCAAAATAGGGGGAAAAAAAAAAACCCAAAAGCAGGTTTTTTTTGAAAATAGAAATTAACTACAGAGAGAATATAATGAAAGTATAAAAATAATAGTAAGCAAAAAAAGTTTTAATAAAAGATTGTTAAAATCAATAAAAATTTAATTAAATTAGCACTCATCATTATTATTATTATTTTTTTCCTTAAAGATTAATGTCTCAATATCTTAACAAAGGTAAAATTTGGGTTATTTACTAGAATACTAGAATTGCATTTCATTTTCATTAGCAAAAGCTTAAACACAGATGCTTTTGAATTCCGATTAGATAATGTAAAATTCTACACAAATTCTATCAACTTCCCTCACCAATCTTTCTTTTCTTGCTCATACTAGGAAGCCAAGAATCACCACTGCCTATGCACCCAGTTTCTCTCCGGCTCCCTCCCCAATTCCGCAGACCGAGTAAGTTTCCCCATCACTGCATTCTTGAAATTAATCGCATCTTGAACTTGGGAGCATGACCTCTGCATCCTAACCCCGCTTAAACTACTCCTAGACTCCATCATCTCGTTCAGGGAAAGGCGTTTCTTTGGATCCACCGGTTCCGGCCTCTGCTTCGGGGCACTCTGTGACCTCAGTTTCGCCTTGAAAGATTGAGTGTTGGCCATGTAATTAGGAAAATTGACGTACTGCCTGAAGAAATTGTCCCCACACACGCTCTTTGCAGGCGTTACTGGAGCATTCGACCCGCAGGAATTGACGAACCGAGGAGTGCTATGCGCGGTGGAGAACCTGCATTCATCTCTGGTTAATCCCCATTCTGGGCCTGTAAAAAAACGGCCGTCGGGTATGGTCAATCGTCCCGGGACCTGATAGGGAACCGGTGAAGAGAATGTCTGGTAAGGTGGGTCATCGGAGAAATCTGAAACCGAGGTGTTCGTCCGGCGAGACCTTGATTTTGGCCGGCCAGTATCAACCTCCACGATTTTGGGATTTTCATCAAAATTACACATGGGATTGTCGAAAGAAGCCGATAATCTTCTGCTATGAATAGAAACTGTGTGGTCGCTTCTCGTATCATCAAACCTCTCCTGCAAACAGAACAGAACAAGATTGAATTTTTTGTCCTAAACAACAATGGTCTGAAAAACAGAAGAACCCACCATGGATTTACGTGTTCGGATTTCATTCAGGGAACAATTCCTCTGCGACCGAACTGTTGCTTGTGCTCTTATCAGGGCCTGCATACCGTGGAGAGTAGCTGTTGCTTGTTTTCGGACCAAATATCCTCGAACAACTGCTTGTAACTTCACAAGTCCTTTTAGAGCTCGAAGTGCTTTTCTAGCCTGTTTTGAATCAAGAAAATTTCGAAACAATCAGACCTTTAAGAATCTGTTCTAACCCATAATAATGTTACTGTTTCTGTTTCGTTGGGTTGAATAAAGAAAGAGAGACCCACTTACCAAGTAACCTCTGAAAACCGTTTGAATCTTGACGGCAGCACACCGCTCGCGTCCCCCGCCAAACATGGTGCCTCTACCGTGGCTCGTCAGTCTCACCACCGCCACGGCCGCCTGTGCGGCTGCAACTGCCGCGTCAGCGGCGGCTGCAGTAGCTGCTGCCACCGCAATTGCGTGCTTGCTCTGTTCTTTCTCTGTTTCATTGTAGTACGACCTCAGCCAGTCAGCCTCTGCAGTGGAAATGTTGGGTGGGATTGTGGTGGGGTTGTGACACAACCCGGCTGAGTCTCTTCCTGAGTTGCTGGTATTACACTGTTTTCTGTCGCGACGGTGGCCGGAATTGGAAGTTTCTTTGTTTTTTATCCCAAATAACCCCTTCAACCACCTTGTTGCTCTGCCCATTTTCCCTGTACAGAGTGAGAACAGAGAGGGAGAAGGAAATGAAAAAAGAAACACAAAAAAATAGGGAGGAAAAAAAGGGGTTTAAAAGGGAAATCTAAAAATGCCCATTTGGAAAAGAAAAAGACTTCAAAAGCAGAGAAAAAGGGGAAAAATCTAAAAATGCCACTTAGCAAAAGAAAAGGCTGAAACACAGCTCACAATCTTGATGCTTTCCATGTAGTGAAAAATGCCGAAGCAAAGCTGTTGAAGAATCAAATGTTTAAAAGAGGAATGAATATCAGAAAAAATGTGGAAACGGGGAAAATTTTGAAATTCAAAGAAAAATGCTGTCTAATGTCCAGCGAGGAACTTGCATTAGATGACAAAAACATGGCGCTGAAAGGTTCAGATGAGGTTTTTTTTTTTTTTTTTTTTTTTGGACAGAAGATAAGTATTGATTCAGATAGAAAGGTTTTCTTTTGGGCAGAACTCAGAAGATGGAAAGTTTTGAAGAAAGAAAGAAGACACTAATTATATAGCGCAAAAACTTAGTTTTTTTTAACTCTTCGTCTTATAAAATTTAAAAGGATTAACTTTTTTATTTTATATTATAATATTTTTAACTCCTCATTTTATTAAATTTATAAATTTTAATCATTTACTTATTAAAATAAAAAAAATAACCCTCACTTTATACTAACTATTAACTATGTTAGTTAAAAGTACGTTTTTGTTAACTAATAATAAATTGATAGTCAATTAACAAAATAAATAAAATATTATAAAATTGATTATGTTAACTCTACTAATTAAAAGAAAATTTTTATCAGTTAATAGTCAACTAATTATCAGCTAATAAAATTAATAGTCAATTAACATAACTAACAAAATATTACAAAGTAAGGGTTATTTTTTTAAATTTTAATAAGTAATGGGTTAAAAGTATCATGATATAAGATAATAAGGTAAAACTTACAAATTTAATAATATAAAATGTTAAAAATATCATGATATAAAGTAAAGGTTAAATCTTTTAAATTTAATAAGATGAGAGGTACAAGTAGGCTTTTAGCATAGCTTCAAATGGAACTTACAGAACTTTAAATGGTGGAAAATATAATAAAAAAATAAGCCGACCTTAGTAATATAATATGAGGGGTTTGGGCAAAAAGTAAGGTCTTTTAACCAATACAAGGGGTGGTCAGGTTGTAATTGTGAAGTAATTTTATTATTAGTATAAAAAAGTTTTATACCCACATAACAAGACTTCAAATATGTGCTCCTCTTCTTTAGCTTTACTAAGTGTTTTGATGGGTCGCGTGCCTCATTAAGGAATGTAAGATGTTTATTAGATTTGAAAATTGAATCTGTAGTTACTAATCATTAATAAAATAACTTACTAATTAATAAAATAACTTACTAATTATTGTCTTGTCAAAAAAAAAAATGTGCTCCTCTTCTTATCCCCTCACTTATAGACTTGAACCGCGTACTTAAGTACATAAAAAAAAAAAAAAAAAGACTGTTTAGATTACGAGTTTAAATGTTTTAGATGATGGGTTTGGCCAATTTAATGGTCAATCTAAAACTCTTGTAACAAAAACTCAGTTGAATTCCTAAATATTCTCTTTGATCTAAAATTAGTTGTCAAACTTTAACTTTTTGTGTAATTGTTGACAATATTTTTAGATGGTATAAAATGACAATTAAAAAAAATTAATCAAGTAAAATTATTGATTAAGAACTAATTTGGAGAGAAGGGAGTAGGAAGGTGATGAAGCCGAAATTAGCTTGAGTTGACTTCAACTCAAACAAATATAGTCCATATATACTCCCTCTGCTTATTTTTAGTTGTTTTAACTCTTGAATTTTATATAAATTAACTTGATATTTTTATATGATAGGTCAATGATAAATAAAAAATTAATTAATTTAAATAAAATTACACAAATTACATATAAAAAGTTATTTTAATTATCATTTATTTGGTATATAGTATATATAAAAGTATTAAGTTAAAATTCATGAAAAAATCAAATTATAATTAGGACAACCGAAAAGGATAAGATGGGAAAGAATAGGAAGATAGTAATAATGTAATTTGCTCGAGTTGGAGCCTAAAATTGTGACAGAAATTATATGTTATGCAATTTATTTTTAAAATAACACATTAAATTATTATTTATATGTTACTACCATTGTACTCCAGACCTTTTTTTTTTTTTTAAAGGAAAGTAATAATCAAGGAAAGTAAAATAAAAATTTTTTAAAAAAATTGAATAAAATAAAATAAAATAAAGTGAGACGCTCGAAATTCGATTTCCTCCAATAGGAAACTGTAAAAGAAAAAGAGTTGAAACTTGAAAGCTTGTTTTTCTCTCAAATGACATTGTGGAGCGACGTGTCCTAAAAAAGAAAGATACCTCAGGGTCCTCAGTGTCTGACAATCTCGTGAATCCTTGCATTATTTTATGCTTTCTCCCTTAGCTTCACTGTTTTCTAATTCTCTGTACTTGTTTTTAACTATCCCTTGTGCATGTAACAACATGGAAATTATTATACACAAGTAAATCTAAAGAGTAATGAGTTGAGAACCCATTTGGACTTTTCTG